CCCTAGCGTGTAGATGAGCTCTCGGGGCTCAAACCGAAGGTGTTGCTAGCACTGGCCCTAGCAAGAGCAGTGCTTCGCAGTATCTACTACCTGATCGAGAATCGCGACCCACTGAGAAGATCCGGCGTGAAAATTAGTGAGCTATGTCTAGACATGATAAACATCTGCAATGAGTACAGAAATAAATAAAAGTTTTAATGTACTTATATCATCAGTTGTTAACATATAAAGTAGAGAAAACCCTTTGAGGGTTGAGAAATATTACTACATCAATGTCACCACCCAGACTAAGACTTGTAGAATTACTGTAAATTGTACAGTATTTAAAAAAAATCACTTTCAAAAATCACTTTTTGCATTTCAATTTCTATCTTGTTATTCCTCCACCACGGAAGTCAACATGAGCTAAGTATTAATTCTCCAAGATGAGTTAATTACGTATTTCATCGGATAATTAGTATTGGCACCGTAGCAATTTTGTGTAAGCAGACCGGGCGTCTTACTTTAGGCTTTGACGACTTCAAAGGCAATCACGTTTTTTCTTTAAATATCATATTCCGTTTTTTTTTTGCATAAATCGTAGTTAATGATGATTCAATTCGAATTCAATTCAATTCAATTTTACTCTCATACTCAATCTTCTTTTTCTCCATCGTATCCCACTAGGTGAGGTCGGCACAGCTAATTTTTCTCTTCCATTCTCTTCTATCAGCCGCCACCCAACACTCACTCCTCTTTTTCTCATATCGTCATTCACAAACTCCATCCATATCTTCTTCGGTCGACCTCTTCCCCCTCTACCTTGCTACCATTTCTATACTTCTACTACCATTTCCATACATCTTCTAGTCACATGCATCTTCTCTCTACGCATCACATGTCCATACCACTCTCATACTCAATCGTTGGTTTAATAATAATATTACTTTTTTTTTATTGCTTTGATGGGTGAACGAGCTCACAGCCCACATGATGTTAAGTGGTTACTGGAGCCCATAAACATCTACAACGTAAATGCGCCACCCACCTCGAGATATAAGTTCTAAGGTCTCAGTATAGTTACAACGGCTACCCCACCCTTCGAACCCAAAACGCATTCTTCATCATAGAATGTTTTGTTATATTTTACAAAAATACTATTTCCGTATCCTCTTTACGCTATTTCTTATCACCTATTTTACTAACCTAGCGCGTCAGTTCCGAGTGTGATTTATCAACTATTTCCAAAGAGCGATCTGATGCAAATTAAAACCTAACCAAATCAAAGTACCATCTGGATACAAGTTATACTCTAGTTGGATAAGTGCTAGGGCGAAATGAAATATTCATCTTCATCTTCTTAATGAACATACTGTAAATAATTCAACTACAACGATATCGTGTATTAAAACAATCGGCGAAACACCCGGCTGATACGTGTTACGAATTCATAAATAGGTTTCTACAAACCTAACTTTGTAACATATATATGGACATAACCATTTCGGGCTATAGTCAAAAATTAATAATACTGCGGTTTTGTGAACATAAAACTTTGGTAGATACCAACGTTAAATTTTTCGAATCGTTTATTTCTTGAAATATGGAAAATTAAACAGCTGATTGAAGTCGGCCATTTTTGTTTGTTATAGTTTTTAATAAGGCTCTATTCTAACCTGACTAAAGATTGAGAATATAACCTAAGATTTTTTTCAGTCTGCCAATAACGGGTTAACACAAAACTTTGATAAGTCAGTTTAAATGAGAACCTTTTGCCTTACCTAAACAGCAACATGAAAAACTCGATAACACACATCAAACCTTATATACATAAGCATCAAACATTTCAGTATATTTTAGTCCAATCTTAGAGTAAACATAAGCAAACTATGTATGTATCCTCTAAGAGTCCAATAGTCTTGTGTCAAAATATTGAATTGATACATTTGTGAGGTCGCTATCTAAATTAAAAAAGTCTTTAAACGAGTAGCCGTGCCGATTACTATAATTCTGTTTTCTCTAATTTCTTCTAAGCTCTAATTTCTTCACTTTATTTTCATTTTTTTTGTAGGTCAACACTTTATATGCTAAATGTAATCACTTCACCAGTGAAAGATACAGGAATCTCTGCTGGATTCAGTCTGCGTAGGTAGGCTACGGTAATTGTGTTGAAATTTGGGGAAGACCTCTATGTCCAACAGTAGACGTCCGTGGACTAATGATTTATCACTCCAATACTACATAGCTGGTTGGGAAAGAACGAAACCTACTTACTGTGAAATACATAAACATACACGTCCTATACAACGTAACAAACGTCCCTATGGGATTTCACATAAAGTATAACATAATTCTGTGGTAGTGCATTGCGAAATGGCAAAATTGAATACCATTTAGTTTATTAACGGACATCGGATGCGTCTATTGACGACTGCGGTTCCCTACGGATATTTAATTTAGACTTCCGCGCGCGAGACATAGCGGTACACCGTACGTACAACGGCTGTAATACATTATAATAATAATAATTTATTTATTAACCTCGAAAACATTTACACATAACAGTTTGCTAAAAACTCTCCACACTAGGCACTGCCTGTCTCGTGGAGAGTTTTTTTTACAGGAGTATCTTAAAACTAGTAATAATTTAACATTATTTCGTTTGTTTCAATCAAGTTGATGAATTAATTCTTTTGTCTCAAAATAATAGGCCGGCATGAAGTTCGGTCCTCTTTTTTGCGTATGCCTCATTCCGTCTCCGGCGGAAGGGAAATGACCTGACAAGGTGAAGGCAACTCCGTTCGTTATAAAGAAGTCGCAAGAGCACTCCGTGTCCCCACACCGACGACATCGATTACATCAGAGCATCCTAAATTAGTTGTATCAATATATAATTACTTCCCATTCTATTATCATTTGACAAACTATTTTGCGCGAATGTTTCTTCATTTTTTTGATTACCATCGACGTCAGCCTACATGAGTGGGCATCCTCGGTCACTGACGCCAGCGTTGCGAGGAGCACAGCCGAATTGATGACTTCTATTTTTGTGCTGAAAGTCAGCCTTTGTCGGTACCGGTCCTGATAATAAGACGGTATTTCCTTTCCGGGAAATTCCCGATGGACGTCGTCTCTAGTGGTACCGTCGGGGACGCGCCTTGCGCCGTCCCACGACCAGATTGACAACCGGACATCGGGCGCCCCCGCACTCAGCATCCGACGGCCCTTATGGGAGCTGAGCTGAGCGGGGATTTCGCTCTCACAGCGAGCCGAATTGATGTCTACCGTTGAGAGCTCTATTCAAACCTCTTTCTAAGAAATACTTGTGATATACTACGCTCGAAGACCACCAATAATAAAGAAAGAATCATTTATTGCCTTTCACACAGATTTAGATTATTACAGGTAGATAAATGAAAGAAAACAAAAAAAAAAGGGTAAAAGGGCTGTTCAAAGTGGATGCAACGAACAGCGCTCAATTTCAGTCACCCCCGTGGTTTTGTGGGGGATTTAAGACATGTGCCCAGACTTAAAACGTGATATAAGGTACAATAAAAATAAGAAGAAAAACAACTTATGAGAAGAGTTCTTTCCAAAGTCGGATGGTACGTGGTAAAAAATTGAAAATGTATCTCCAATACCTAATACTATAAAGATGACCCAAAACCAAAAACAAAAACGTAGAAAATAACATTTAATAACTTTTCACTGGAAAACGCTAAATAATAATAAATTTTCATTAATAATAAATTTTCGCTATACGGAGCTAATAAACCGACAAAACAAGCAAAATCCATTACACGGCGTAGGTACGGATAGTAATCCAAAACATAAAATAATATTATAACGGGAAACATAATAATTATCTTCAACACATCATTTCCGGTCGCCATTTGATAAACGACATATCACAAAATGAGCGTGCATCCGGTCTCGCACTTTCCACGTGTAGGTAAATTAATTTGGCAGGTGTCTTCTTTGTGAAGAATATATTCTACACATAAACTCGAAAAAATAGCTATAAAAGTCCACATGATGGTTCAGATCAATGTATTTCGTATAAAAAAAAGAAAACGGTGGTACTTAGTTTTTTTATTTTATTTTTATTGCTTATATTGGTGGACGAGCTCACAGCCCACCTGGTGTTAAGTGGTTACAGGAGCCCATAGACATCCAGAACGTAAATGCACCACCCACCTTGAGATATAAGTTCTAAGGTCTCAAGTATAGTTACAACGGCTGCCCCACCCTTCAAACCGAAACGCATTACTGCTTCACGGCAGAAATAGGCAGGGTGGTGATACCCATCCTCGCGGACTCACAAGAGGTCCTGCCACCAGTAATTACGCAAATTATAATTTTGCGGGTTACATTTTTATTACACGATGTTATTCCTTCACCGTGGAAGTCAATCGTAAACATTTCTTGAGTACATATTTCATTAGAAAAATTGGTACCCGCCTGAGATTCGAACACCGGTGCATCGCTCAACACGAATGCACCGGATGTCTTATCCGTTAGGCCACGACGACTTCAAAACTTAGTAACTTAATATAACTCTACCAAACACAAATTCAGATATTTTTTACGATTTTAGTGTAGCGGTGTTATTGCCTCATCGTAAAGTATGGACTAGTTTCTTTCAAATGTACTCGGCACGTATTTTCTTAGAGGAATTGGGATTTGGACACCAGCTTTGAATGTAATTATTACATGATAGTAGCTAATTTTTTTACTCAAGTTCTGCTTTAGTTGCTTTTGGCACATTTAAAGTAAAACCTTCAGAGATCCTTTTAATGGAACAACAAATATTTATAAAGTAATAAATCTGACATCTCACTTCATCTCGCATACGTCTAAAATTTACCAAAACACACCAACACGTTACAAAATTCAATCAAAAATATATATATATTATTTTTTTTTCAATTTTTTCTTCTGTGTCTAAGCTGTTGTTAATATCGAAACTGTCCAAGTTTCCGTATTTAAAATCAATTGGAAGTTAATCGCCGCAATTGGACATGCCTGTACGTAATTGCTGTTTGGGTTGTCAGGGGCCTATGTCTGGCCCATGCGGTCCCCTGGCCTATAGAATGGATTGCTGCGGTCAAGTTGGTCCCTGTTGCGTGCACGCGAGAGGTGCTTATTGTTCAGCATCGTGTTGGCAGTGCGGAGATATGCACGGGTAAATCTTGATTTGTAGTATAAGCAAGGGCGGATCCAGCTTTGGCGCCAGGAGGGGGTCACATAGTCAAATTTAGATGCGTTCGTTCCCAAACGTTTGCCATTATACAAAGTTATTATATTATATTAAATTAATTAAATATTGAAGGTATGTAGTTACATAAAATCGGTATGGTGACAAAATATATAATTAAAATCATTATATTCAATTAGTGGTCCACCTANGCGTTCGTTCCCAAACGTTTGCCATTATACAAAGTTATTATATTATATTAAATTAATTAAATATTGAAGGTATGTAGTTACATAAAATCGGTATGGTGACAAAATATATAATTAAAATCATTATATTCAATTAGTGGTCCACCTAAGTCCTGGACCCAGCTCAGGGGGTGGTCATGACCCCCATGACCCTCCCCCTGGATCCGCCATTGAGTATAAGAGTAATTATCGCAGATTAGTTTTAGCTACGAGATGTATACGGCATTTATTTATCATTTAAAGCCTAAAGGTTTCTACCCTAACCTAAAACCTTTTCTAACCTAAAGGGTTTTAAAAAACTCTAGCTTAGAAAAAGATTTTTTTTAGTCGGAATCGCTCGCCTCTCTGTCGTTCAGTGAAAAGGGAGTTCAGTTTTGTATAGTATAATAATACTGTTTAAAATATTAATTTTAAAAGAGATTAAGGGCTTTAAGTGTTGTTTTCTTATTATATCACAGAAAACGCAATTAAGCCTTTTATTGTGAAGTATTTCATATCATTATATAATATGCATAAAGGTTCGGATCGTGGGTCATAATTATTGGCTCGATGTATGAAGATAATATTGAAGAAATTTCAATGTTTAAAATTTTACATAGACATGTTTACATAGCAAACTAACAATTAGTTTTACTCGATCCACAATATTGTTTAACCTTTCGATACTAGTCAGAATGTTCCGAAGTTGAAATTACATATTTATTGTATTATTATCGGTCCTTGATGCGTGTACAATTTTTCAAGTTAATCTTTTTATTTATTTATTGCTTAGATGGATTGAAGAGCTCGCAACCCACCTGGTGTTAAGTGGTTACTGGAGCCCATAGACATCTACAACGTAAATGCGCCACCCATCTCGAAATCGAAGGTATTGAAAGTCCGTGAAAAAGACGTTCAAAGATTTCTTTACATACAAACATTCATATGAATATGAAGCCTATAAAAGCGCATTAAAAATACCTCCCATGTCAGAATGTTGGTACTTCTCTTGTTTAATGGGTATGAGGACAATACTGGTAATTTATTGGTGGAATGTAATGCTGGTATTCTGTAATACTTCGTGATGCTCCCAGCATTTGGCAGTGAACATTTAGCGTTTTTTAGAGATGTTTTCTAAGCCCGTGGAAGTAATTTTTGCTGATCGTTTGTGCACTGTGCTGTATATAATGTCTATGGGCTCAGATACCACTTTACCACCACCAGATGAGCTGTGAACTTGTCCCATCTAAGCAATAAAAAACGAATGAGGGTTGTTTTAATGAGGTTGATATTTACAAGCTCATATAATACAATATATTTTAGGCTTGGGGGAGGCCTATGTCCAGCAGTGGACGTCTGTGGGCTACTAAGAAAAAGAAGATTACAAAGCTGATATCTTATGAGCCTCTTTTCCGTATTCTGCTCTTTAATTAATTAGTAATAGTACACATTGTGGGTACGGGTAGATATTAACAATCTGCAGGTTTCTGCACTGAAGCAGTCATGTGTACCGGCTTCAAGAATGAGAGAGTCGGTACGCCTGATAATCAAGACTTCGAACATGCAAAATAAAAATATCTTTGCTCCTGTGTAATTAGGTTACCCAAAAACACTCCAATGCTACTAAAGATTCAAAACAATTTAACGTCTCCCACTAACTAAGTACTGATTAAATTAAATCCCCCAAATGTCTGCAGCTACCGTGGAGGAGTAGCCGGCTCGTACTACAGCTGTGGGCACGGCTGTATCGGAGGCTGCACTGGAGGGCTCTGCGCTTCTTGCTGTGGTCCATGGTGCGCATAAATAATGTAACGCAAAAGAAATGTGAATCGAGTCAAAATTGAATAAAGTGTATTTTTTGAATACGTGGTCTTTTTTGTGTAAATTGAACCGTACTAAGATTTATCGACAATACCAGTGTAATCAGGCGATCTTCTCAGTGGGTCGCGATTCCGATCTGGTAGTAGATTCATTCGAGAAACACCTACTCTTGAGTTGTTAGGTCTCCTTTGGAGGCGCTCGGGTAGCTGTTAGCAAATCCCACCCCTCCTGGTAAAACTAGAAAGGCCTCCGAGCCACCAGTAAATTCTCAAACAAAAAAAAAGTGTTCAGGTGCTGAGCACAAGAAACATGTGCCAGTGTGCTGAATGATGCAAGGTTGCGTAGAAAAGCTGAAACGGAATCTTCATCCAACACTAATCAGCAGCTCACTCAACGATGCGCAGGAGATCCAGATCGCCATACCACCTCGCATGACCTAACTATATTTGAATGTACAGAAAACATCCTTCAATTGCCCAAAGTTTCGGCAGATTTTGTCCAAATGCATCCTAAATTGATATGATCAGAGATTTTACATACGCCTCAAGATACAGAATAGAACATCTGCGGGTTGCGACCTAAAAATGAGATTGCATTTGGTCCACAAATATTGGTAAAATCTTATCTTAAACCATATAAAATTCTAGAAATTTTAAAATGAGAAGAATAAGTAAAACAAATCTACAAAATAAGTGCTGTTGGCGGAGATATACATTTTTCTACATTATTGCGACTGAAGCCGGCTAGTGCTGTAATTAACGCAATTACTGTAATAATTTCTGCACCATCTAGTAATTTCTTTAGATCCAAATAGTCTCCGAAACCAAGGACGTGAAAGCGGCTAATCTTTCGGGGTTTTCCACGCGCTGCGCGACAGTCCATGGGGACCAATTATTTTGGTTTAGTCCAAATAGTAAACTACGCAATGATTATACCTCAAACAGATTTTGCAGAATTTCAAAATATGATCAAAGCCGTGTCAGAGACCGTTTGAAATTAATATGTTATTGATATGACACGATATCAACTACATAATTACCTAACCATTTATCGTAGAGCCTTGCAAGGCACAGGTTAACTTAATAAAGAAGCAAAACCTAGGATAATAGCTTTTATTAAACTTTAACACCAAAACCAACACTTTCACAATGTATATTTGGAAACGTTCACTAATGCACATACACCATATTCCACCTCGTTAGCAAGACGCTCCACAGGGGGTACACTGCCCATACGGAGGGCTCGGGCCACAGGGCGGCATTGGCCCACAAGGCTGGCACGAACCAAATGAAGGACATGGGCCGCAGGGGCCGCACGGTCCGCATCGAGACGGACAGGGTCCACAAGGCCCACAGTATGGCTTGCAAAACGACGGGCATGGTCCACAGCACGGGGAACATTTCGGCATGCAAGGCGCGCATGGTCCAAAACACGGTCCGCACGGTCCACATGGGCCGCTACAAGGACCGCAAGGCCCACATGGGCCACAGCTGGGCCCGCATGGTCTAGGGCTCGGGCAAGGGCTCGGACTAGGGCACTGGCCGCACTGCGGAGGATTTTGACTAGGGCTTGGTCCGCAGGGAGCACATCCAGGGTAGCAAGGTCCACAGCAAGCCATTTCTTTTCAGTGTTATGAAATCTTGAATTCAGTAAAATTTAGAAAATCAAAAAAACTAGTCACTGGATAATTTAGAGTAACTTTTTTTCGAAATTTTTGTTATTAATATTATATTATATTTTTTTAAACTGTTCTAGACAATTTTTTCTATAAAAATGAAGATTCCGTCAGTTTAGATATTTACATCGCTTCCGAATTTCGATTTTCTTCTAGAATTTTATTTCGAAATTGATTTTTTCGTACACTTTTCGAAAAATTCTGGCCTGATTGACGACCGATATTCGTAAACTCCTTTATGTATATGTACGGTAACTATAAAAGAGTTTCTTTTATGAAATTAAATCCTGTGAATTATATTGATTGTATATTGATTGTTTTATATTGAATTTTGGCGAATTGCCGATGTCATAATAAGAATTAATTTTACGGCTCAATTTCGCGTTTTTTATAGTATTATTTTCAACATCTTAAATACTGCAATGTTCGTCATTATGGACAAAACCGAGCGCTCGAGAATAATGAAAATACCAACGCCTGATTAAGTCGTAAATATAATTTTAATTATATCTGCGACTCGCGGAGACCCAAGAAAAAATTATTGCCAATGTCTATGAGCGACTGATAACTCACTAAAATAGTTCGTATGCTCGCCTGAATACATCGATTATAAAAAATAGTATATTCTGTATAAGATGTACAAAATATATAGGAAAACATGTTTTTCCTGCTAAGTAATCGTCAATTTCTCAAAGAAGTCCTCAAGTAATAATGAATATCAAAATATTTGTACGAACAAGTTCAACAAACAAAGCCTTATGAAGCGAAATGGAAATCTTACGATCTACTAAAGTGGATGCCCACGCGAAACTATTTGATTCATTCGTGGAAATCGACTTTTAGACACACTGAGACGAAACTGAAATACGTTTTTTTTCAGGACGGTAATCGGCTTCTGGGATGCTATTGTTGCCAGCGTCGAATATTATAATATTTCTAAGCTTTTGTAGACGAAAAATGAAATGACGTGATACGAAATCTATCTGTATATAATAAATTGAGATAAGATTGAATGAACTCAAATGGAATGAAGCTACTGGAGATGAGATAATGCCGAAGTAAAATGGCGGAAATCCACTTAGACTTCAGTGGCCTTTTTAAAAAAAACCCGAGAGGTGACGTAGCGAAACCGAGCCGCGTATCGACGCAAATTTTACTTCACAGAATACACAAAACAGGACGCTGTGCTTATTGTTGTTTATTGGAATGAAGTTTTGGAACTAAGTTCCTTATGGAACGATGCGGAGGGGTACCCTAACCGGGAAAAGACGTCCGTAACGTAAGATTTTTACTAGTAATGCACACAGTGTACGACTTAACTTTGTAATAACGTAAAAATTAGTAATGCGCACAGTATACGACTTAACTTCGTAATAACGTACAAAAAATAACATATTTTTATTATATATTTTTTATAAATCATTGTGAATAAAAAAATAAAGTTGATAACTTTGTAAAGTAGTTTTTTTTAATTTTTATTAATAAAAAAATCATAATAAAAAATGTATACACGAATAATTATTTTCTTTATACCTCGAATAGAACTTAAAATTAATATTTTTATAATAAGGGACTTCGTTCCTATCCGGTGTCCCACGACACCACACATCTTTTGTTTATTACAAATGGGCTTCAATTTCCGTTTAATTTTAGGAACCAAATCCCTTGACGCACGAATTGAAAAAAAAAAGAACTCTCAACTGATAGATGTCGCCCATAGACCTATCGCCACGTAACGATACGCGAATGGCCTTCGACTTAACCATAAGGCCTTGTCCGCACAGCGATATTTCACCGCGCGATTTTTTTCTCGTAATTCTGTAACACGTTTAATATTATAGGAGTATCCGCACTGGCGGTAAAAAAATCGCGCGGGAAAAAAAACTGTGACTTGATGCAAGTTGAACGCGAAGCGGTGCGATTTATTTCCGCGCGAATATTTTGTACCGTAGAGCCTGTCCGCACAGCGATATTTCACCGCGAGGTTTTTATTCGCGCGTATTAAATTCCGCGATCGGAATTACACCTAGTACGCACTGCGAATAAAATTTCGTACTATTTTCGTCAGTTTAATTCAGTTCTCGGCTGAGACGCACGTGTAAAATGGACAACCGAACAAAAAATTTAATTTATCTAATGCTAAGGCGGCGTAACAGACGTATCAAAAGATGTCATGAGCATTGGATTCACCCACTTACGGCGTTGAGACCCATGAAAGGATTTTTCTACATAAAATATCAAGAGTTGCGAAAATACAGCAAAAAGTTTTTTCAATAGCGACGTTGCACGACTGAGCGAAACGCGCGAATTTTATTCCACAGTGCGAACATAGCCATACTTACTTTATACGGTACAAAATATTCGCGAGGAAATAAATCGCACTGCTTCGCGTTCAATTTGCATCAAGTCACAGATTTTATTCCCGCGCGATTTTTTTACCGCCTGTGCGGATACTCCCATAATAATAAATGTGTTACAGAATTACGAGAAAACAATCGCGCGATGAAAAATCGCTGTGCGGACAAGGCCGTATAAAGTAAGTATGGCTATGCTCGCACTGTGGAATAAAATTCGCGCGTTTCGCCCAGACGTGCAACGTCACTATTGAAAAGATGTCGCGCGCTTCTTCTCCCGCCCAATCGGCGGCCGTGCAAGAATATGATGAGATTTATGTGGAGCAACTAACTTTTTGCTGTATTTTCGCAACTCTTGATATTTTATGTAGAAAAATTATTTCATGGGTCTCAATGCCGTAAGTGGATAAATCCAATACTCATGATATCTTTTGATACGTCTGTTACGCCGCCTTAGCATTAGATAAATTAAAATGTTGCGGTAAAGTGCGGACAGGCCCTAATACATGAGAAAAAAATCGCGCCGTGAAATATCGCTGTGCGGACAAGGCCTTAAGAGTAAATTCCGATGTACTTATTTAAAAAAACTGATTGATATTCAATACTTTTAAATTCACATTCGGATTTTTGTCTACATATATTTTTATTGCATTAATGAGCAGACGATCTCGTATTGACTAGTCATTAAAGCTGCCCACTTTATTATATTAATTGTTTGTCGTTGTTGTTGTTGTTTAGTATTGTTCGACAGAATATCTACAAAGTCGTAGTACATTATTTTATTCTATCATCAATAGTTTTCGCAGGGCGCGCTAGGTAAAGAATATTTTAGGTATTTTTTTTACACCTTGGCTTACATTATTGAGTTTTAGTAAGGTACCCTATTTTTACTCAAAAAATATTATAGCCTATGTCACTAGGGAATAGTGTAGCTTCCAAACAGTGAAATAATTTTTCAAATCGGTTTCGGAGCCTATTCAATAC